ACACACCTCACCTCCAGCAGGAACATGAACACACCTCACCTCCTGCAGGAACATGAACACACCTCACCTCCAGCAGGAACATGAACACACCTCACCTCCAGCAGGAACATGAACACACCTCACCTCCAGCAGGAACATGAACACACCTCACCTCCTGCAGGAACATGAACACAACTCACCTCCAGCAGGAACATGAACACACCTCACCTCCAGCAGGAACATGAACACAGCTCACCTCCAGCAGGAACATGAACACACCTCACCTCCAGCAGGAACATGAACACACCTCACCTCCAGCAGGAACATGAACACACCTCACCTCCAGCAGGAACATGAACACACCTCACCACCAGCAGGAACATGAACACACTGACTGAACACACTGACTGAACACACCGACTGGATATCTAAACAGAATGTACATTCCCAAAATCCTACACAATCATACACAATCCTACACGAGTCATTCAGTCGTTGACAACAAGACGTGTGTGCCTTTGGAAGTCTTCTATTGTAATCATAGTTCCATGCAATAACTTATGATGATATACAGATATGCTAAGCTCATGTTGATAGTGAATTATCCAATCCTTGTGGATAGCCGACAGTGAGGTGAGGGTTCCTTCCCTTGCGCTATAGTTAGTTTCGTGATTTTAACCGAGCTCATGGGAACATTAAGAGCTCATAACATGGATATTGATACAGGTTTCCTAAAAGTTGCTTCTATTGTTGTTAACTTGTATCATTATAACGCGGATATAATGTGAATCATGCGTATTTATCCGTTTTGTTTTAGAGTGATTTAAGCAACTTGCCACATTCCTGGTATTTAACTCCACTTGTTTTTGTTGTTTTTGTATAGGGATCAAACTTGCCACGTAGGTTCAGGACCACAGTACATAATATCGGACGTTTAACAGCCGTTAAATCAAAAAGTGGGGTAATGACTTAATTAGTTAATTATCCTTGAGAAAGAAGTGAAAATAAACATGCAATTAAGTGATATAGTACTTTGTATTGTATTGTATCAGATACCATCGTGGAGTAGGTGGTCTCCTGCACCTTTCCCCCCCCCCCCCCCCCCCGACATGGTGAAAAAACATAGGCATGCAACCTGCAATCCGAAGGTGATTGCAGCCCTTACGGAAGACTATAAGGTCTTCATGCTTCTGTTATAATTAAATGATACATAACGATAACTTGTAAACCCCAGAAGTTTTCAGTATCGTCATGAATCGATATACTTACTGAGCTTGGTTTCACTTGGCCATGAAAAAAGTTGGGATTGACGGTAAAATTGTATAGAAATAAATGCCCTTACTTATATTATTACCGTGAGACAAATGGGAAATTATATAACCAGTCATTATCTGTAAGCTAGCTTTGTCTAATTTGAGTTATTTGTACTTTGAGTTATTCGCATTAAAAAATAGGACAATACCAATTATCGGTAACAAGTAAGAATAATGAAAGTTGGTAAAATGATATCTAACTCTGTTATAATAAAGGGTTGTATTTGTCACATCAGTATATTTCGTTTCAAATTTACACGTGAGTAGATCCAATTATTCGAGCTAAACTTTACCTCGACCTAAAATGAAATTGTGTGATGTTACAAGTCTATTACTAGTTACTAGTTCATCATTCAGAACGGTGTTTGATTCCGCCCTCGTTTCCGTGTTAAAGTGAGTCATGTGATTCGCCCTCGTGTCCACCCTTTCAGGAAAGTGCCACCCTTGTGTCCACTGTCCTACCGCCCTTGCATGTCCTCCGCCCTTGTGTCCGGTTCCCGTTATGAAGTAAAAGGCGATCATTCAAAATATTTAACTCTCTGTAGGACTGTAGTTGGATGATAGCACAATACCATTACCGGTTATTTGTTCGAATTCTGCGAAAGGAGAATAATAGGAGGTGGTCAAATGATATTTGCATTTTGAAATGGCTGGTTGCTCCTTTATAATGGTTGGTTGCTACTTGCTTCTAAGAATAAAGAGGGATGTGTTGATATATTATAGCCTCGCCCATTATATTGCCATTAGATTTATATATCTGATATTTGCTGATATAACACTAGTTTGATTGAAGATTGACTATTAGAATTAATGTGTACGTAGTTTTATTTAACCAATGTTCACAAACAAGCAATGATCTTCCGCGAAACGATCTTTCTCCAACTTACGAACTAACATACGAAGATATTGCATTGATATTGCATATTTATATCCACGAAACACAGTTATGATCATTTGACTTAGTAGTTACGAACTACCAAATTTTGTCTCCTTAAGTCCACAAATAATAAGTAATGTGACGCTTCTAATGAGTTTTTTTACGATTCTTATGTTAGTGCGTAACATGATAGAAATGGAATTAGTTCGTGAGTACGGGTTGGGGTGTACTTACGAACAAATATTAGTTCAGAAAAAATATTAGTTCAGAAAAAATACTCATTATTCTCTCTGACGTTGTCAATCAATACAATTCTATCCTAAAAAACTTTGGATTATAACGTGAACGTGTGGTTCAACATTTTGATCAGAGTAAATTAAAGGTAATGATTCTACAATAGAATAGAAAAAATTAAGATTAAAATTATTGGTATTATATTGGGTATTATAACTATCGTCATGCTACTAAAACATTTATACATGCATAACTTTCACTTAAAGTACGCATCTGTATCAATTTTTAGGTCATGAACCCCATCAACAAGCTGTTATTTGACGACTGAGAATTAGGTCCCTGTCTCACAGCTGCCTCACGAGGCTCATTTTCTTCTCGTATGTAGTCCTCAATATCAGCTGCGACGGGAAAGGAATGTTCCGATTCCTACAGTAATTATGAAGGACAACACAGGGCAGAATAATTTGGCAAAACATCTCAACGTCGAATGGAATGGCACCACCAGATTGCCTGCACGTGCATCTGAATCGGGACTTGAGCGTCCCTATAATTACTCTCTCGATAGTGCATCGATATTTCGTTGTGACGTTCGTTGAACGTCCTCTCGCCAGCTGAAGCGGGATCCAAATATGGTATCATCATGTGGGGGCGGAGTTCATACCCCGAATCTCCAATAAGCCATCCTTTATAAGGCCTAGGCTCACTCAACAAGAAATCGTCTATGCGCTCTTTAAGTCCACAATTTTTCCAGATAGTCTTGTCGTTTACCGATCCTGGCCCTTTTACAACGGCATCGAGGAATCTAAAATTCGCATCTCGTATACCAACTGAATTTTCATGTATGAAATGATAACATTACACCAGGACTATATCATATCAGGACTACTAAAAGTTTTAAAATTTGACTATTTATTATACATCGTTTCAAAAAATGAGAATTTTTACTCGTTGTATATAACCTATGCAATACAGAAAATAACACACGAACCTTAACAAAGGCAGAACCAAAACGTAGTAATCCCAGATCTCAATGCAAATTAGATTGTCTGCAGTCTGCATGCGCGAAGACAAAATTTTAAACTTAATAATTCCAAAAAGGGAGCTCTGTGATCCCTAATTTGGTGGTAATTATCACACACGATGGTTCGCTAATTGTATCAATTATGGGACACTAACTTCGTAAACTCCGGTTCGCGGAAGACACTTTCTCTAATTATTTTCTCAAAGTGACGAAGTAGTACTTTAGTCGACGTATACTTAATGATAGTTCGTAATTAGCTACTATTAATACGTGGGAACTTACGTACTGTGTTAAAAAGAATTTTCTGGAAGATGAAAATGCTCTTCATGAAGTCCGGGGTATTTCTACTGTTTTACTTGTTGAGATTATTGCGGGGACGAAACGAGAGTCTCCACTCAGTGTAAAACAAAATTATCCATGCAATGTCGACATTTTGGCTACAAACGTTGAGATTTCCCTCTACATATAAGCTGCACCACACCCCTTATATGATATAAAGGCATCATGTGCATGCCAGACGAAACGTTGAGATTTTGTTTTGCAACACACTTGAAATAGACTTATCAGATCTTTGGGATGTTTATTGTTAACTGCTTCAGATTTGTGAAAAGTATGATAATAATTATAATCATGTTTTATCGGGTATAATTGAATGATTCATTGTCATCCTCTGTTCTGTCGACAAAGCCGTACTTAATCAGCTCATTAATCGTCATTCGTCAAATAACGTCCAATAAAGTATCCGTATACTCGTATAAAATATGCCATTTACTAAAAATAAATCACTATAGATCATGGTAATTGGTATGCCGAGGAGAAATTTGGCGTATTTCTTTTTGAAACGTTTAGTTTCTGTTTTGTAAGTTTATAACCTACCAAAATCTGCGCCGAGTTGGACTCGTCGACGATCTCGATAGTTGAAACAAATATTTTACGAGTATCACCCGTTCATTTCTGTTTGGTGGATGTTGTGGATGGATTAGTTAATTACTGATTAGTTAATTACTGATTAGTTCATTACTGGTTAGTTAATTACGGATTAGTTAATTACTGATTAGTTAATTACTGATTAGTTAATTACTGATTAGTTAATTACTGGTTAGTTAATTACTGGTTAGTTAATTACTGGTTAGTTAATTACTGATTAGTTAATTACTGATTAGTTAATTACTGATTAGTTAATTACTGATTAGTTAATTACTGATTAGTTAATTACTGATTACTTAATTACTGATTAGTTAATTACTGGTTAGTTAATTACTGATTAGTTAATTACTGGTTAGTTAATTACTGATTAGTTAATTACTGATTAGTTAATTACTGGTTAGTTAATCACTGATTAGTTAATTACTGATTAGTTAATTACTGATTAGTTAATTACTGATTAGTTAATTACTGATTACTTAATTACTGATTAGTTAATTACGACAGACTCGTGCTCTCCCTATGATTGCCATCATCTATTCAGCAAGGATTTTTAACATTAAAATATATTAAATCTCCAAAATAATATTTAAGAGGAAATGTTTTACTGTAAAAATAACTTAAATATTTCTCATTATTAAGTGTAATGATACTAAGAAGGTGGGACATATCAGCTATTAAAGTGTATGCTCTCGTGTTGGTCATATTGTTACTTCTCAGTTTCACTGCGTATAAAAGCTATTTAGAATCTGATACTGAAAAGGTACATAAGTTTTTTTATCGGCTTGAAAAATAACAGTAAGTTTTCTGACAACTTTAGGGTCAGAAAACGTTTAGCTGTCCATATTTTGGCCATTTTCAAGTAAAACATGGGGCTGATAAATTTCTTTTTTTAAAGTAACAAAATTAAAAATCGAATAATATTATAATTGATTACAGGTGATCCGAGCAAGAGTATTACAGCAGGGCAGATGGTCCAATAATGATTCAGACAGCCGAAGAGAACTTGTCATTATTGCAACAGAAAGCAGGTATCATTTTAGTCATAGTAACACCATAGCAACACCATAGTAACACCATAGTAACACCATAGTAACACCATAGTAACACCATAGTAACACTATAGTAACACCATAGTAACACCATAGTAACACCATAGTAACACCATAGTAACACCATAGTAACACCATATTAACACCATAGTAACACCATAGTAACACCATAGTAACACCATAGTAACACCATAGTAACACCATAGTAACACCATAGTAACACCATAGTAACACCATAGTAACACCATAGTAGCACCATAGTAACACCATAGTAACACCATAGTAACACCATTGTAACACCATAGTAACACCATAGTAACACCATAGTAACACCATAGTAACACCATAGTAACACCATAGTAACACCATAGTAACACCATAGTAGCAGTGTAACACCATAGTAACACTATAGTAACACCATACATACCTAACAGTTATACTGTTATACGATCTTATGAACAACTGAATGTGGAAAATGCCAGTTTTTTATGCCCTTACTTTTATTTTTAAAATGTTGTTATAGATTGACGTTTTGTACTATTTTAGGTCCGGTTCAACTTGGCTTGGGACAATATTTCAAATGATACCAGATCTATTGTACGTGTTTGAACCTCTGGACCCTGATTACACCAGTTTAATGGGTTACCCTAGTGTGGTTGGTTTTATCCGATTTTTTTAGATTTTTATGGAGGTTGTACCATTGTAAAACTTACATTGTGACAGTATAGATGGCGAAATATTTTTGAAAATGGTCCTAACACAGCTTTGATCGTAACAATAACATTGGGTGAATAGATTGGGTGAACAAACTATGAAGCAGGCAATTATATGTGCTCATCCATCATTCTGCATATGTAAGCTCAGTAGTTTAATTGCTGATTCATACTCAATGGTGAATCGATAGAATTCATGTGTCGGAGATCTCGTGAGAACACCTTTTAATAATTATAGCCCTCAGGATCGCATTATCCCGATCCGGCCGTAATGTGTATTGAGGTATGCACTAATTGTAGTGGTGAACGGTTGCAGCTCAGGCTATGTTTCAGTATAACTATATATCAGAGATCGCAGTATATTTACATTCTACTCGGATTGCAGATTGAAATATTTTCCTGTTGGAACCATGACACATGCAGGGGAATACCAAAATATTAATTGTAGTTGTACAACTAATATGATCAATAATTAATAACGGCAACGCTAATTTGTCCTTATTGGACTTTATTTTTACGGACATAAGTTAATAGTTGCTGCAAATGCCAAATGCTACAACTACAAGTTAAGCCCTATAAGCGTTCATTTTAATGTCCGTTCATTTTAATTTTAATATCCGTTCGAATATTGGCGGACGTTTTAAATTGTAATTAAATAGACCATTGAGCGGTCGCGTTTATTTTAATGTCCGCTCAAAATTATTCCCGTTCACATTATTTCCGGTTGCAGTACGGGTAAAATAACGTCCGAATAAAGCTATCCGATAAGCTCAGGCAGAGCTTTCGGACTGCGTAAAACTAAACAACTTAAAACGTTGAAGAACGCCGTTAAGACATCTGTTGTTAACTCACCTAAAACACAAACATACGTCATACAGTCCAATGGCGAAGAATTCACAGCCAACTGAGCAAGTCATAAGCTCGGAAACGCTCAAAAGCGTAGTAAAACGTGTTGTCGAGGAAGAGGACCGCAGTCTAGTCGCAACGTCATTGTATTTGGTCTGTTACAAGGGAGCGAGATATATAGAGAACTTATTGACACAGTTAGCGTGATTTTCCAAAACATTGGACAGAAACCGAAGATTGTTGAAGCGTGCAAAATTGCCAGAAAATCTAAGGACAATTTAGTTACAGCATCATTAATAAATGAGCAATTACGTTATTCGTTTAAGTTATTGCAAAATATTTGATTCCAATAAATAAAATCCGCCTTGTGCCGCGTGCGCTAATTTACTAATTCTGTACTCGCCTGCGTACACTGTACTGTACAGTGTACAGCAGGAGCAGGCCTGCAGGCATCATGCTACATGCGATTTTACAAATAATGTTCGACTTCAATTTAGACTTTCAGTTGTTGTAGTTGTACTGTATACTAATTGTGTCGGTTTATATATTTACCAGGCGGCGCTCAAATTGCATGATCAATAACGCTAATTTGTCCTTATTGGACTTTATTTTTACGGACATAAGTTAATAGTTGCAAATGCCAGATGCTACAAGTTAAGCACTAGCGTTCATTTTAATGTCCGTTTATTTTAATATCCGTTCGAATTTTGGCGGACGTTTTAAATTGTTAGTAAATAGAGCATTGAGCGGTCACGTTTATTTTAATGTCCTCTCAAAATTATGGCTACGCCCGTTCACATTATTTCCGGTTGCGGTACGGGTAAAATAACGTCCGAATAAAGCTATCCGATAAACTCAGGCAGAGCTTTCGGACTGTAAAACTGGACAACTTGAAATGTTGAAGAACGCCGTTAAGACATCTGTTGTTGACTCACCTAAAACACAAACATACAGTTCAATGGCGAAGAATTCACAGCCAAAGCTGAGCAAGTCATAAGCTTGGAAACGCTCAAAAGCGTAGTAAAACGTGTTGTTGAGGAAGAGGACCGCAGTCGCAACGTCATTGTATTTGGTACGTCACAAGGGAGCGAGATATATAGAGAACTTATTGACACAGTTAGCGAGATTTTTCAAAACATTGGACAGAAACCATAGATTGTTGAAGCGTGCAGAATTGCCACGAAATCTAAGGACAATTCAGTTACAGCATCATTAATAAGTGAGCTTACGTTATTCGTTTAAGTCTGTCTGTCTGTCTGTCTGTCTATCTGTCTGTCTGTCTGTCTGTCTGTCTGTCTGTCTGTCTGTCTGTCTGTCTGTCTGTCTGTCTGTCTGTCTGTCTGTCTGTCTGTCTGTCTGTCTGTCTGTCTGTCTGTCTGTCTGTCTGTCTGTCTGTCTGTCTGTCTGTCTGTCTGTCTGTCTGTCTGTCTGTCTGTCTGTCTGTCTGTCTGTCTGTCTGTCTGTCTGTCTGTCTGTCTGTCTGTCTGTCTGTCTGTCTGTCTGTCTGTCTGTCTGTCTGTCTGTCTGTCTGTCTGTCTGTCTGTCTGTCTGTCTGTCTGTCTGTCTGTCTGTCTGTCTGTCTGTCTGTCTGTCTGTCTGTCTGTCTGTCTGTCTGTCTGTCTGTCTGTCTGTCTGTCTGTCTGTCTGTCTGTCTGTCTGTCTGTCTGTCTGTCTGTCTGTCTGTCTGTCTGCCTGTCTGTCTGTAATTTCCAAGCGGCTTAATCAAGAAAACGGTAATTTTTTTTATTAGAAAACATAATATTAATATTATGAATTGGGTCATGCCATGTGAATTTTATATGCTAATCTGCATTCATCACGGTTTTTATACTAATAAATTATTCTTATGTAATGAGTAAGCACGAGAATTTACCTACTATTAATAATAATTAGAACTCATGGATTTATTTTTTCTGAAATTACCATTTAGTGTCAAATTGGTGCTAGTGCTACCCACCCATGACGGGGTGGTATAATCATGTAACTTGCGGTTGATCGAACAATTAGCTTCGAAACAATTTGGACTTTAATAGCCCTTAAGCTTATTAAACGACATAACTCATGATGTTAATTTACTCAATAGACACTTTTAACACATTGTTCAAGGTAACTTCTAAATTACTGTTACCGAAGTTCAAATGCCCTGCAAAAAAATCGTTTGATGTGCCCAATATCTATGCTTCTCAATTTTCACAATTAGCCTCAATATTCAATAATCATATAACTATAAATAAAACAACGCCATCTGCATCAATAACACCAGTTTTATAAACTTTTGAGCCCACCATGAAACTTGAAGATTTTGTTAAACCAGATCGTTTAAATCCCTCTTGCCGTCCAACTCTGCTACGTCATGTTTTATCACATTTACTCTTTCTCGTCGAAGAAGCCAACACTGGTAGAAAGAAAAAACTTTCGATTGTTGATTTCTACCGTCCTGTTGCTGTTGACCTGCTTTCTTTGTACGATGTCACAGAAAAGTCCGAAGTTCGTAGAATTTCACCTACTATTGCTGGGTAAGTTGCATATTTTTATGCTTCATATTTGTTGTCAATATACATACATACTGTCCGATCATAAACTTCATATCTGAGTGATTTTTCCGATTTGTTGATATCTATTCAGTTTCTGTTTATCCAGTTTGCATTTAGCGATCATGTCCGATGCGGGCGATGTGGATAATTGCCAATCGTGACTGATATTCATAATTTGTTCTATATATAATATATACTACTTAATATTTTGTGTTTATGCTTTATATTTCTTGTCACATTGGTTACGCTGTTTGTAATTTGAAACTATTACAGGTTCTCTCAGTTAATACGGCAAAGTCTATGATGGACAAGTTCACCGACAGTCTAAATGAACCTTTTAATGTCATACCCAAAAAGAAACTTGAAGTTGAAGCCCCTGTGCAAGTTAATCTCATCACTCCTGCTCTCAGTGACGTTACTACATCAGCATCATTGCAAGTAAGCACGTTTCAATACGAATACAGAATTATTTGTTTAACATAGCTTATTTATTTTAAAAGTTTATAAACTAAAATAATATTAATACCATTGACTGTCAAATTATTAATTTTAATCTCTGAGCCGACACTGTAATTGATTGTTTGCAATGAACAATTTGAGATCACATAACACAACTTTTATTTTCACTAAATAGTAGATAAATGCCCGGCCATTAATTGAATCACCGATCACGGATAATAATACAAAATATACTTATGATGTCAACGACAGGCTTATATAAGCGAGGACTCGGCAAGCCAACACACTAACATTGACCCGAGAGATGAAAAGGATCGTGATTATCAACCAGCCTCTTCCAGTTCTTCTGCTAGCACTCCGAGAGTCACGGTGTCCACTTATCTGAACTGCAATCTGGATGGTATGGCAGCTGAGTTGGAAAGAAATTCTGCCGGCACGGAGTCGAATGCACGCACGTTAACATTGTTTTGCAAAGAACTTTACAAGGGTGGTCTCCTGCAGCAGCCATATGTTGTTCCCCGGTCAAAACTCGAAAGCATCCGTGGAAGAGATGGGAAAAAGAGGCTTGAAGCTCTGTCTACTCGTTCTCCGTTAGGTTTGTACATAATATAATGTTTTCACCAGGTTATTTTTTAACTTTTGAACATGTTTATATTACCAATTTTAAAAATAAACAGCGACATTAACTTTACCATTAGAATTAGTACGCTTTAGATTAAAAACAGCTATTTTGCAGCAATATTCTTTGACGGAAAGGAGGATAAGAATATAAGGATGAGCCAAAAAGATGAAAAAGGTCACATACGACATAGTGTGGGGAAACGGAGCCACTACTCTGTGGTAGAACAGCCTGGTGCGATCCCTTTGGGGATGTTTGTTCCTGAGCAATCGACTGGTAAGCACTAGATAAAGATTATACTTAGATGAATATATTTTTATACATTGCGATGTTATTTTGATCATTGGTACATAATAAACGGTCTAACGACTAACGTTATATATGTCTCGTTCCATTTTAATGTTGCATTAGATTTCCGGAATAGGTTCTGCAGTTACAATGTTACATTTATGCCGATTCTTTGTTGATTACTTAATCTTCA